CTGTCAAGGCAGTCACAGCCTTGACAGCAGTAGAGAAGTACAGGCTGCCTGTTTATGCTTTGCCCAGGTATCAGACCAAACCCTGTGCAGCCTGATGAAATGGGTGAACAGTGCATTTTGACAAGGTCCCAGCATTTGAAACAATGAAATCCCAAGGCCTTCCTTGTTACTTTCTTTGAAAATTCTGGTAGGATAAATATCTGTGTTCAGTGGTGAAAGAAGGTTGCACACAGAACTATTGATCAAGTATTTGATTCTTAGTCTGAGGAAGACTTTCAAAGTGCTAGACTTAGAGAAAGTCAAGAGGACAGGATGACATTGCTGAGAAAACCTAGACACAAATGGACAACTACACAAGATTGGCCTTACTCCAGTAAATAGGAATATGACCTCTCTCTAAATGCTTGGAACTCTACCAAGTTAAGATTTTATGTGGGCCCAAAGCACTCTCATTAAAATGCACTTAAACCTGACAGGGTGTTAGTCATTACATCCTAGTGAGGATCATTTTAATCACAGTTTTTTCTCCCCAGTTGAGACAAAATTCACATAAAATACACCATGTTAACCAACTTAAAGTGTAGGATTCATTCATTTTTCTATCTTAACAATGTTGTGCAACCACTGTCCCTGTTTAATTCCAGAACGTTCTTATCACCTCAAATCCCAGTTTATTGACACCTACTTGCAATAGGAGCTTTGATCCTGAGTGAGTTTGCAGGTGGAGAGAAAATAGGAGGGCTGAGTCCTCAGGGGAGGGGAGGAGACATCATGATAAAAGATACTCTTGAAATATTGATCACAGTTTGCTGGGGGTTGTTGACAAAGAGATAAATTTCCAGATTTTTTTTAAAACAATATAGAACAGCAATAGTCTAATTCTTAAAATTAACAGTGTTTAAAACCTGTCTTGCGTCATTGAAAATTACCAAAATGTCAGTCCTTGTCCATACCTCCCAGAAAAGAATGCACACTGAGTCCTGAATCAGCTTCCCCTGGGATATACCTCCACTAACTGGGAGTATCTTCTTAACAGAAATAAGACCAAGATATGATTTAGAGTTGATATGGCTGTCACTGGGGCAATGGGAACTTGCACCTCGGAGCTAGATACCTTATTTGGCATACTAGCTATGCATATTAGGAGGAAAGAATTAAAAGGAAAAGAAATTCAAAAGAGTGCTTTGTACACTTGCTTGAAATCTATCAACCAGGTCCCTGATGTTCGGGTCAAAGATAGGAGCTTTCCTCACAGCAAGTGACTTAAAGCTCATGTACCAACAATGAGTTAGTCACAAATGTCTTATGCAGAGTAACTTTAAGTCAAAGGAAGCAAAGACAGTTTTTGAAATTTAACCTTAGTTTCCTGCTTACTAAGATTTACCAGAAGGTGACTCTAAATGGGTACAATAGACGCTTCACTGAATTATGGTAGTAAATAAAGCAGTAAGCACTTGGAGTGCAGGCTGTGGAAATGACGGAAGAAATCTGCCTTGGGCTGTGATTATTTGCACAAAGCAAAATCAACAAACAACACTCAGGCTGTAAGTAAGTTTCCTGCTGTGCCAGTTTTATAATAAAAGTGTTTTTCTTTTCAGTTGAACTTTCCATTGACTTAAATCATTTATTTCCTTGGAAGTAATTTAAATACATAGCCAGTGAAGTAGTTTACTGTGTTTATATGAAAAGGTAAAGTTTGGTAGCTCACTGCTCATCAATGTGAATATGCTTAAAGGTATTCCTGATATTCTGGAATATCCCTCTGGATCAGAGAAGCTGAATGGCAACCTAAAAATATAGACTTAGAAAAATGAACCAAACAAAGAAAAAAAATGCACATTTGGGTAAAAGATATTCTAATTTATTTGGAAATATCTTAATCTGCTTATCAGAACTATAGGCATCAATTTGTAACCATAACAGAAAAATAGCTTTATGTTAATTCCGGTATCATGTCATTTAGAATAAAATTTTTTTCCCTCTTGCAATTCCAATTGTTGCAAAAGGCAAGCCCTCAGACTAGGCAATCATGATATCACTTGATGGAGGTTGGAAGGGGACTCCTTTCCCAAAGTGGTTCACTGTCTATTTTTATGAGGTCTGAAATTATACCATTGGACATTTATTTCCTGGATTATGAAGTTCTTTTGTTCATCAAGAAGAATCTATTTAAAAAATGCAAATACTCATGGATGGGTGACTCATTAAGCATTACATTTTATTTTAACTTGACCACTAGTTGAGAGTGTTTTGGACAAGTTGATTTTGTCCCTCACTCTTTCTTTCTAGTAATGGATTACCTCTTCCTTGAAGGAAGTGCTTCTTTCCAAATCCAGCCCTGTATTTCTAGTGGGAACTGCCAGTCAGAACCTTCTTCTTTTCCACTCTGATTTCCCTCTACCCCACCGCCAGTGGCAGGTGCATGACTGAAGCCTGTCCAACCATAGTTCCTCACCTCTGTCCACAGACTGGTTCATGTCCTCACATGGGAGCCCAACCCAAGCCAGGACAGAGTGCTTTATTGTACTTTTTATAACTGGAGTTAGTGGAAAAATGCTTTCTTTTCTTTCTGGAGGGAAGATGAGGGCAGCCCATAGTTGCTAATGGCCATGTTTCCAGTCTCTTCTGACATCTCACTTGAGAGAATGAAGTCTCAATGAAGAGAGAAGCAGAGATGAGAGACAGTGTTCTGATGGTATCTGAGACTGTATCCACTGGACTATATGGCTCGTAGCATGCCCTTTCTTAGTTTGTTTACACTTGTGCCAATAAATCACCCTTTCTCCTTAAGCTGTTATGACTGGGACATCTGTCATTTGCAAACAGAGATCTGAGAACTGAAAACAAACATTTTATAAAAGGACACAAGATAACTAGGGGAAGGGTGTTGTTCTAGTCTAGGAATGTGTGTGTGGGAGGTGGGTCAGTCCTATTTGTTGTGTGGTTAAATGGAGGTCATTGTGTGTTAAAGTTACCAACATCTTTGCAGGCTTTACTTTCAAGTGTATTGAGAGGTAGGACAAGGTGACCAAAGTCTCTGAGAATGAAAACTAATATGACTCTGGGGCCACAAGTACTTTAACAATCTCTTGAGCTATTGAATTCAGGTTGAGGAAAGTGGGAGCAAAGGCAGAGCAAGAAAGTGCAATTATTTAAGTCAGTTCAGTTTTCCACCAAATAAGAGAAGCAACATATAGGTCCAAAGAGTCACTGTTTTCATCCATAAATGACCTTAGAATACCTGTCTTTATTTAAATTTATATCTATTCACCATACATTAGGGTTTTATATTTTTTTCTGTACTGGTAGCTTTAAGAAAAAACAACAAATATAGAGAGAAAATGGACAAAGAAGGTGGGATTTCATGTTTTCTAAGCACTCTCAAATCATTAGAGTCCTGGTACTTCTGTGTTATTTTAATTTTGGCGTACTAAAATATCAAAGGGACAAAATTGTTATTAGGCAGCGAATGATACTTTTGTCAACGATGAGATTTATATACCTTGCAATAAGATCTTTTATTCACTAGATTCAAAATAGGGTTGAGAAGTTGAAAGCTTCTCTCGGGTGAACTAGAGAACTTTCTCCAAAGTGATGTACAATCATTATCAGCTTCTTGTTATGCACCTATCTTGAAATCTGGCTATGATGCTCTAGAATAAAGACCTTTAAATGGATAATATCCTTGGATGGATTTTATTCTCTAACTTTTCATGGTGGTAAAAGCCAATTCATAAGTTATCATTATATTCTGTGGGAAGAGAAAAACAAATTGCCCTTTAGCATGTGTTTCAAGATGACTGTGTTACATGCCATTTCAACCCTGGGAAAGTGCTATTCAAAATAGAAAATTAATAGCAAACTCATTTTAAAGGTTTACCATTTGTCCAGGATGCTGGACGTGTCTCACTCCCTGAAGCCACCACATCGCCTACCTTCTCCTCCTCCATTCATTTCCACGATCCTCCTCTTTTTCCAGAATTATTCATGAGTAATAAAGGAAGCCAGAGTAAGAATAATGGCATATTTCTGGCTTTATAAGAGTGCCACACATGAGAGGAAGGCATTTATCCAGAGGACCACAGTTTTCTGAGCGATTCACCAGGCAGAACGAGGCTTGCTCGCTGCTGTAGAGCAGGAATGAAATAGCCTGCTGTGTCGGAGGTACACAAACACACTGGGTAGGGTAAGTGGCTGTCTGGAGGCGGACTGCTTAGGTGTTGCTCACACTTGTCTAACCTGGGGCAAAGTAATCAACATCCCTAAGCCTCCGCTTATTCTTCTGGAATCCATAAATGTACTTACTTCAGAGGCTCTTCTGAGAATTAAATACATGTGAAGTGCTTAGCGAATGCCTGGCACATAGTTTTGAATGTTAACTCATTCTTAATGAGGACAGTCTGAGGGGTTTTCCTTCCCGAATGTGTGTTGATAGTCCCTTAGAGAAGACTTGTTCAAAAATCCAAACCAAAATCACTAACATTTTTCTGAATCACCCAGATAGCATCCTCACCTGGCCTTCCCTGCTTGGTCCTGGCTCGTTTGTTGGCCCTGTGTTAAAACGCTCACTGTTTAGCTTCCTGTGCCTGCATGAGCAAACAAGCCTGTCCACACTTGGAGACAAACTCCACTCCTCACTCCACTCCAGAGCTTCATCCCTCACTTCTTCCTTAGACTCTGCCCTTCCCTCACTGCCACCCAGCTTGTGCAAAGACACTTATCAGGTTTATTTAGCCCAGCTCCTCAGCTTCAGGAACCTCAGTTGCTCTAAGGGACCTCTTCTTCATTCTCAACCTCACTTAACAGTGAAAGTGAACCCAGCCAGGAGTCAGTAATTGGTGTAATGCCACTGTTCATGTGGAATGGAGGTCAGGCCAGGCCAGGCCAGGCCAGCATGGCTGCCTGGCACCAGAGCCCTGCTATTTGCTCTGTTGCCAGTAAAACTATATACCTCACACAGGATGGAGGCCAGTGTGCAACTGTCACATGGTAATACTGACCTCTAGGGGCTGGCTTCCCTTCACATAGAGTCCTTATCTTCTCCTTGAGTTCCAGGACTGTGATGGCAGCCTCTTGCTTCGCTGTTGCCAAATCAGTTTGCAGCTTTTTCAGTTTCCTTTTGTGCTTTAGTTTCTTGAAAAAATAAGAGTTTCTGTCACTAGAGATAGATGCATCAAAGGAATAAAAAGAACTAATGAAGTCTGAACAAACATGGCCTTTGAAGCCCAGCTTTGATTAACTGTTCCCTGTTTATCAAGCTTGAATCCTTTCTGTGGTCTGTGGAACCGAGTGCATGTGCTCCTGTCAAAGCATTACAATACCTAGCAACCAAAGCCACTCTCTACATCAGGGTATCTTTTACCCTCTCTAAGGGTTTTAATCTGCATCTGAACTTTGTATTTTGGTTGCTTATAATAGAGGCAGTTAGAAAGCAACTTTAGTCAGTGGTTGGCATTTTACACTGAGGTGTCAATGCCTAAAAGTGTCTGATTTTTTTTTCCCAGTCTGTAAGAAAACTCACGTGAAAGAGGGAGCCTCTTTCAGAGAGCCTTTCTTCTGTGTCATTTTCCACTCTGACACCATAAAGGTTTGTGTTCAAATAATCTCTGAAGAGTGGGATGCTACCATGAAATGCTGATATTTACAGATATTTACTGTGGCATCTGTATAGGGAAAGTGGTCAGGAGTACAAATCACTAAGCAATAGAAGATAGGAATTGCTTGCTATAAAATAGTCTGATTTTTGACATTGAAACCTTTGAAAAAACTACTTTAGGAAGTTGTTGCCTAACCAAAGGATTCACCTGGAGACTTTATAACTAGAAAGCTCCTTTTATGGATTTCAAAATGAAATCAATTTGTCAAAATTAGATTTATCTATCATTGCGGAAAAACTGTCTGTTGTGAAAAGTGTTGTATTTACACTTGTGTTACTTGTGTTGCTGCCTTTCCACTGAAGAGCTCACTTTGCCAAGTCTTTGTGGATGGGTAATTAGGAAGCCCAGAAAATAAATGACTAACATTTCTTATCAGACATAAATCTTGAGATAGGGAAAGGAATGGTTTTTGTACATCAGGGGAAACTTTAAGTAGCAGGGAATCTTTTTTTTTTTTTTTTTGTGAGTAAAACCAGTAAAATCAGTTCATAAAAGATGGGATTATATAGACATAGATAACCCCATTTTAAAGACAGGTTGTCTTTCAGACCAGAGCAGGATTAGGATTTCATGAAAGCTGAATTAATGCCATACATGTGGCTAAAAGAGAATATTATTCAAATGATAAAGGTAGTCATGGAACTTCTTTAAAGGGAGTTGGAGGGGTAGACTGGCATGGTTCACCAACAGAGTGCAGATAAGAGGTGCCCTGATCCACACAACATGAGTTTCTGGTCTGCTCAGCAGTTCTCTTAGAGTGTAGCTAGTATTCACATATTCATTTCATCTTTGTACTAATTATGAAGCACCCCTTTGGTGTCAGGCATAGTGCTGGCCAGCTGTTGAAAAATCAATGCTGATAAGGCTCCATACCAGTAAGACCTTCTTTACTGAGTTTCTGTTCACCAAAACCCTTCACCATCTGGCTGGTCCTGTAGATTAGTTCAGAGAGAGATGGAGTTGATCAAGAAATATCTGGGCCTGGGTATTTGACAGCTAGCTATATTTCCCATAGTAAACTATAAGGTTGGCATGCTCATCCTTACCACCCTCTCTTGTAAGTTGGTTTGTGCCCGCTCATTCCTGAGGATCTCGTCCATCCCAGGCCTGAGGTGATAATGCCGGTGAGGCCCTGTGTGGTCTTCAGTGTCCTTTCCTGATGCTACTTCAAGACTGTCCCTAGCATCTGGGTGGCTCAGTGGTTGAATGTCTACCTTTGGCACAGGGTGTGATCCTAGGGTCCTGGGATCGAGTCCCAGATCAGTCTTCCTGCAAGCGCTGCTTCTCCCTCTGCCTATGTCTCTGCCTCTCTATGTCTCTCATGAATGAATGAATAAAATCTTTAAAAAAAAAATACTGTCCATGCTCAGACTTTTCAAATTTTGTTTTTATCATTTAGAACTTTGGGGCTAGAATGTGGGAGGAGTGATACAGAGGGAAAGAGTGGCAAAGGGATTTGGAAGAGAGCGCTAACTAAAAGTATCAGAAAAGAACCAAAAACAGTAACAGCATGCAAATTGACACATTAGGGTAAGTGTGTGGATGAATGCACTCTACATGGACATACGTAAAAAAGTGAGATGGGATGATGGGTGGAAAGAGATATTGATAGGTGATGTGGTAATGGTGTCTAGTTATTAAGTATGTGGGTATTTACTATAAAATTCTTTCAGCTTTTCTGTGTTGGAAATCTTGTTTAATGCAATATTGAAAGGAGTAGGCACAGAAGACTGCATTTCCTTACATTGCTTGTCTCTTAATTCTTAATAGATGGTATTCACCTTCTTTTCAGAATGTGTTATAATGCAGATCAGTATTTTTCTGGAAACTTTTCTCAAAGTAGGCATTGATAGTATGTAAACAAAAGCAAAAACTAAAAGTAATTTGGAGAGATTTGGTGAGGTGGCTTCTGGGAACTGGGGTGGTGTCACCAAGGAAAAGTCTTATCAAGCTACATTTCTCTTTCAATAGGATGACTGGATGGATAGAATAACTTGATGTTGTGATGATTCTTAATGCCAGTTAAACATTTCAGCTTTTCAGTTAAAAAAACTTAATTCCTTTAAAGAAAAAAAATTAAATTTCCAGGGGCCTCGGTGGCTCAATCAGTTAAGCATTTGACTCTTGGTTTTGACTCAGGCCATAATCTCAGGGTCTTGGGATCAAGCCCCTTTTCGAGCCCTTCATCTGGCACCATGCTTTGCAGGGAGTCTGCTTGGGATTCTCTCTCTATCACCCCCTACTCACACACTCTCTCTGTCTCTCTCTCTCTAAAATAAGTAAATGAATCTTAAAAAAAAATTCCAATTTCCAGATCACCTTTTTGTCTTTCTCTTGTGGTGATCATATATTTTGCCTTTTTTATTGTTATAATATTTGTCTTATGATCTAAGAAAGAAACTGAGGATATTTGTTTGGAGAGGACAGTATACAGGGGAGTTACAATGTCTGACTTCAGTAATCTAAGGTACTATTTAAGAGGAGAGGAAATTGAGTTAAACAGTATTATTCTAGATACCATGGGGAACAACAGGTATAAAATGCAAGAGGAGGCAAATTTTGGCACAGCATGAGAAAGCACCCTCCAACAATCAGAGCTGCATTCATAACAAGATAGGATGGGTCCTGTCAAAGGCCTCCTCCTCCGGAAATGATCAAGCAGAGGCTGGATGAACATCTTCAGGCAGGCCCATAGTAACCTCTGGGACCTAGGTCAAGAGGTAATTAGAGGTCTGGCTTACCCCCAATTCTTTCCACCTCTGGCTTCCTCCAGCCTCTGAGGGGCACAGCACATGCATGAATGGACACCTCAGCCCTCAGAGTCTCTAAAGTGGGTACAGTTTTCAGGGACCCCTTAAAAATAACTCTTGAATTAGTGAGATGTTGCATAAGAAGGTAAAAGAGGCCCCCAGGGCCCTCAGAACCCAAGGATAACATGACTCAAAATGTGCAAACTTTATTATTTAGCTATAAGGAAAGGGGAAGGGAAATTTAGATTGAAGTTAAAATTGAATAAAGAACCTAAATTGATTGTTAAGATTTCTGTGGGGACCTTTTGGTTATTCAGATAAATTTTAAAAGAGTTTAACATCTTTTTTTTTTTCTTTTCTTCAGACAGAACTGCTGTATGCCATTAATTCGTAGCTCTAACCTAGCCCTTTGGGCATTTCTAAAAATTCAGTTTGCCAACATGTTTTTTATTAGTCATAGACATCAAATGATTTCAGCAATGATAATATTTTCCTTTGCTTTTTTGGCTTTCTATAGCCAGGCAACCTAAGTGTTGTACTTGAACCTAATGGAGTCTGTTGTTGTCTCCTTAGTAACTAGGAACTCCTCTCCATGATTACTGAAAGGAGAGGAAGGCTTTATAGCTTGGAGGTAAATTCCTATTGCCTTGCTCTTTTCCTACTTCTCCTACAGGGTAGACCGAGGGAGGAAATCATGTACTCATGCAATGTTTTGAAAAGGAAATATCTATCCATATCACATTGCTGAATAGCTTGCATTATACCAAGTCATCGGGAATTAGAAACTGTCAGGGAACTATTTATAGATGAGTTACAACACAAAGTTGCCAGCATTGTTTAAAATTTCTTGGTCTTTCCACACACTTTGAACTGTGGCCTCAGATCCTGAGGCTGGGCTTTGTCAACTATTGGCCATGAGAAATTGGGCTGGGCATATGACTTTTCCAGGCCCTTGATCCCATATCATATAACACATAAATGACATACTCATACTATGTGACATACACATAAATGGCAGTACCTAGTACTATGTTTGCCAAGGAGAGGATAGATCTTTCTGTTTTATCATTATTCCTTGAAACACATCAGGGAAACTCTCAACCCTCCCCTAAAAATACTAAAGTATCTTTTCTAAAGATGTCTTAATCTGTACTGCATTGAAAGCAAGATTTCTCTTTTTTCAAGATTGGACTTGTTTTCTTTCTTTCTCCTTCCCCATCTTCTACCAATTCCTCCTCCTTTTCCTTCTCCAAAATTAAGCTTTCTGCAGAACTGCACTGATCTCCTCCTCACTTTGTATGGGTAGACAACACTTAATGTCCTGAAAACAGATGCAAATCGCCTTGATCCAATCTCCTGCCAGAGCTGGCCTGATGCCTGGCAAAGTAGGTGGCTGCCTCTGTGGAATGATGTGAGGAACTTCCTAAAGCCCTACCTCTTAATGCCTGTGGCATCTGTGGCAGGCTTGCTGGAGCATAGCTTCTTCCCACCTTGTCTGAAATCCACCCCATTCAGCCTACCTTCTTTACTTAGCATATATAATAACAAAGAAAGGTTTTGTCTCCAGATGGGCATGGATAAAATGCTTACTACCAAGGAAATAGAATTTGATTTGAATACAGAACATATAAGCAGATTTCTCCTTTCATTTCTTTTCTAATAGTCCATTGTTAATAATAAAACTAATAAAAGTGATAGTAGCTTTTGGATACAACTTGGCTTAAAA